AGAAAGAGAAAGAAAGAAAGAAAGAAAGAAAGAAAGAAGGGAGGGAGGGAGAAAGGGAGGGAGGGAGGGAAAAGAAGAGAGAAGAGAAGAGAAAAGAAAAGAGAGAGAAAAAGATTAGGGACAGGACTGCTTTCTGAATCCATGGTTTGTGACCTCTCAGCTGGGTCAACACTGACTCAGAAGTTTGACCTAAGTAAAATCTGGGGTTAGGACCCCAGGATACATTTGGCAGCATGGCATATTCAGATATCTGGGTGGTATCACAGGAAATTCCAAACATGAACTAAGTCAGAACAAAGCTCAGCTCCCATGGTCACATTCAAGATTACAGCCACCCCAGCAGGAACTACCTAGGGGACTAGGCTCCCACCCAAGCAAGGATGTGTGGTTGGCTTGGGCTCATTTTATTTCAGTGATAATTCATATGGACCCGGTTTCTGATATTGCTGCCTCCTCCACACAATTATTTCTCAATTTACTACCTTTGTGTGAGACTTCTGGATTGAACTCGGGTCCTTGTACTTGCAAGGCAGGCCACCGAACCGCTGAGCTAAATCCCCGGCCCAAGAATACTTTCTTATGGGTATATTTGAAGAGGCAGTGGGTCTACCCAACATCTCATTTTCCCAGAAAACAAAGCAGCGTGTTGCCATTACTGTCAAAAGAATCTTCTTTGACCCCTTAACGAGTGAATCCCCTTTCTCAGTTCTAGTACTAGGATGGAGTGGCAGTTCTGTCATGTTGGACTGGAAAACAGAATACATTTTCCCATAGAAAAAGACGTTTTGATAAATTAGTGCAATTGATGTTTCAAATTTGTTCCAGGTTATAGAGAATTCTGCAAGAGAGGCTGGGAACCTGATTACCAATTACACTATCATTTCAGTGGAGAATATATTTTAATGCTTAAAAATAAAATTTGGGGTTGTAAATGTTCCATGAGCATAGAACTGTCTGTACTTAAAAATAAAGCAAATTCCTTCCTTATCAGCAAAGGAATGAATGAATATATCTATCTTAAATTTTATCTTTTAACAGTTTTAAAAAACTTTGGTTTGGGGGCCAGGGATTTAGCTCAGTGGTGGTACACCTGCCTCTCAAGTGCAAGGTCCTGAGTTCAATCCCTGGTACCAGGGAAAATACATAAAAACTTTGGTTTTACCATCAACTATGGCTAATAGATAGGCACCATCTTTACACTGAGGACAATTCTAGATACATACGTGTAAGTCTAATAAGCATTTCTCTAACCAGCTTTTAGTTACACTTAAGTTATTTGTTGGATGACCTGGAATGACAGACAGTCTTAACTCCCATTCTGCTCTACTAACAGCAATTTATTCCCATTTCTGACCATAAGCCTTTAACACAATGTGTTGGGTGCAAAGAGTTACCAGAGGCACTTTAAAAAATAAGAACTCCTCGGGCCAGGGATTTATTTAGCTCAGTGGTTCTAAAACCTGTCTCGAAAGTGCAAGGACCTGAGTTCAATCTATGGTACAAAAAAACCAAAAACCAAACCCAAACAAAAAAACTCCTGGCCCCGGCCCAGTCGTGAATTAGAATCTCAAGGGAGTGGCCCGGGAACTGCACTTTTAACGACTGCCCATCCCTGGTGACACTGTCATCTGACCCAGTGGTTCTTACCCTGAAGGGTTTATGAGATTGAGTGGAGGGCTTGTTACAACACAGGTTCCTGGAGTTCAGCCCACAAGCTTCTAATTCAGTAGGCCTGGATGAGACCTGAGAATTTGCATTTTCAAAAGGGGCCCAAGTGGTGCTAATGCTGCCATCTAGTCCAAACCACTCATTAGCCCATTTGGTAGACACTGTAGCTGAGCTGAATGTTACTTTTTTTAAACAACACTAGATTAGAACTCACAAGACTTCCTTCTGATTCATACTCCTGCTACTTTTTTAGTTGCCTGATGTTAAGACAAATCAACCAGTCCACTGCAGTTTCTTATTGTAAAAATTTAAAAAAGGTAACAAAGAAACAGCTCTGGCACTGTACCTGGCACAGGAGGCTGCTATGAAACATCTGTGTACTCTGATATCCTTGCCATTATCCCATCCTGTGAGCTACAGTTAGAACTTGCTGAGTTCTAGACAAGAGTCCCCAAAACTCACTGCACAAAACTTGATTAAAACAAACAAACAAACAAAGTAATGACTGACCATTTTTCCTAATGAACTATCCTGTAGCCACATTTTGAACATAATATGTCCAGTGGGAATATGCTTAGCTTCCCAACTCACATTTTCCCATGGAAATAAAAATAGAAGAGAGATTAGATTATAATGAAGTTCTTTGTTTAATTTTGACAAAGCTGAACTTAGTACCCAGGTAGGGATCATTTTCCTGGCAGTTTTTTATTATACTGTTTGGCTATTTCTTGTGACCCGAAAATCAAACAAATGAATCACAGACTTTCATACCCAGGGTGACTCTAGAAGTCACCCACCTCACCCACCTCCCTTCTGAATGCTGCTGGAATCATCTCCAGTGTGTGGTGGTCCAGACTTAGGCATCCAGGGAGAATCACAAACCCTTAGGTACTTGTCATATCACTGTTTAATCATTAGGTTGTCCCCTCTCTGAGCAAATAATCTTTATTTCTTTAATTTCTATATGCCTTCATTCCATTTCTGCCCTCTCTGGAACTCCCACGAACCCAGTCTTTCCATGCAGCAGCACTGACACCGCCCTTGCCTCTGTCTTGAAGGCTAAAAACATTCTGTTTTCAACGATCCCCACCATCAAAATTTCCATGTACTTAATAGTTCTCCTCCTATGGATAAATATCCTCGAGAATTTTTTTTCACTAAAAAATATAATATACTTGGGGTCACCATGTCTTATCACCAAGGAAAGCAATGTAAATTGGAACAACAGTGAGGTTTTCCTTCCCAAAGTTTCTAAGAGTTCAAAGCTTCAGTCACATGAAAGTGCAATGTAAAAGGTGAGTGAGTGTTTTCAGGGGAGGCTCAGAAGGGACCCTAGGAGCAGGTGTATCCAGACCACAACCTGAGAGAGTAAATGCTGCATTGCTACTTAAATTACCAAAGATTTCAAAAAGAAAGCATGTGTCTTACTTTCTACGAAACATTTCTGCAAATATGCAGCCAACACTCCAGAGATCCACGGGGGTGGCGTAGCTGGACTGGAGCAAGACTTCAGGAGCACGGTACCACAGTGTGACAACCTGCAATGGCAAGATCTGGTGTTACTGAGGGACACAGCAGCTGGCTTCAGCGCCCCAGCCCTGGTGGTTTAAGGACAAGATCCATTTTGCAAAGAACTCCTATAAATCTAGGGTGACACTGTGATAAATGCAGTGAGTAAACAGGACTCCACTCACAGGCCAGGAAATGATATCGTCCTCACACAAGAATGCAAAATAACACAGGCCCCAGAAAGCAAAGACCCGAGACCTCTTATTTAAAGCGACTTTTTTTTTCTTACAGGACTTAAAAGATAATACACGGAAAGCAGATCATGCCAACAATTCCACCTCAATTCTCAGGTCGATATTATCGGAAAATTAGAAGATTCCAGAGGCTGATGGAATGTGACCCTGGGTCTCCAGAACCCCGAGGACAAGTCAAAACTGTCCTTATCATGACACTGGGGAATCAAAATAAAACCCCTCCCGTGATGCTCTTTTCAGGAAACAAATAAAAAGCGGGAAGAGCTTCAGAGAGAACATGTAACACAAATATTCATATCACATGAGAAAAAAAGTCATCCAGAGGAAGAGATCCAGAAAACAGAAAAACCCATTTAGCGCAGAGTACATCAAACAGATGATACAAACACAATTGCAATCACTTTAGCCAGGCTGAGGCCTGAAGACATACGATGCTAAGGCTTCAGATTTATGTCTGTACAGGGGCTTAAGTGCTTCCTTTTTTGGGCAGGGTAGAGAGGCAGATACTTTATGGATACCTGAAATTGAGGGCTTTTCTTTTATTGTCAGGTAAAAAACTGAACACATAACTCTACTACACAAATGTTTTGTATCATTCAGATTCCTTTTGTCTTTACTGATTTGTCTTCTCATTTTATTATCCATGCCCCTCTAAATTTCCTAAAATTCAGCTTTATGGATGGGTGCATTAGATCGGCGCAGAAGCTCTCTAGAAACGCTAGTATCAATCTCTGCTCCTTGATGCACACGCTGTCGCTTCCATCAAGGGACAGAGTTTATTCACTTTCCACTGAATTCAGGTCGGCCTCTGTGACTTGCTTGACCTGGAGAATGGGGAGGAAACAATGTCTGAGGCTACAAAAGCATGGTCACAAGAACCCTTGTATGCTGGGCCTTTGCAGATAGTTCCTCCTGGGACCCAGTCGCCTTGCCAGGAGGAGCCAAAAAAAATGTTCTGGTCTCCACACCCAGCTGAGCTGTTTGCTGAAAGCAACATAAGCAAGCCATTTTTTTTTCTCATTGAGTTTATTGGTACATTTTAGGTATACAGTATAGCTACATTCATCACTGGGGTCCTGTACCTTTACACGACAGGTCTTGGTTCTCATTTTTTCCCCATATCGCTGCCCTCCTTTCACCCCCTACTCACTTTCCAATTTACACATACTTTATTTCCATTTTTTCATTTTCTCACATTTTTTTGAACAGTCAAGACCAACGGAGTCCCCGGATGAATGCAGCCCCACCCGACGTCACACAGAGCAGAAGTGCTCAGCTGAATCCAGTCAACTGATGAGCTTATAAACAACTATGAAGGGGAGGTTAAGTTTTGCAGTAATCAGCAACATTAACAGCTTCCCCTTTATCTCATTTAACATACTTAGCTTTGAATTTATCTAGGGCTCAAACTTATTTAACGGATATCTGGTTAATCTCTAATAGAGGAATTACGGTGATGGAATAGAAATAAAAAACACAAACTAGCAATACCAAAATGATGATGCTCCAGTTATCAGTAAGCTCCAATACAGCTTTCCAGCCTCATCCTCCATAATATTTCCATACCCTTTACACTCTAGTCGTACACTAGACGGTACCACCGGTTTTCAACCCTGACCGCGAAAAGAATCATCCTGGGGTTTTGAGAAAAACTTAGGTATCTGTACTTTCTCTTGCTCCCTCACCGAGTGAGATCCCCATGTGTGAGCCACCTGTTTATTATATCTGTACAAGAAAAATTTAACAAATATCCAAGTAATTATTTTAAGGCAATCATTCTTAGAAAGATAACTGGGCAAAGCTCAATGACCAGTCGTTCCCCAAAGAGAAGATGGCATTTTTCTGAGAGTATCCATCCAATTTTGGGCTCCACTTTTTAGTTACATAATGTATCTCTGCTTTATTAATATTTCTAGCTGGAGAAACACTTCTTTGCTCCTCTGACAGACTGTAAACAGAAGTGCAGGTGCCAAATGTCCATAAAGTTCCACTTGAGTGGGTTACAGTCACACAGATCCTGTGAAGGCATATTTATTTTCTCACTTCAGTTCCGGTTACTCTTTTACAATCTAGCATTTTATGAGACAAAAAGTTTAATCTGAATAAAGCATTACTTTAAGCTGTTCTAAGGAAACTGGTTTCTTTCCTTTTTTTTTTTCTGGTACTGGGGATCGAACTCGGGACCTTGTGCTTGCAAGGCAGGCGGCGGAACCTCTGAGCTAAATCCCTGGACACTGTGGATTCTGATTGGTTACTCATCCCACTAAAAAAATTTTGGTAGGGCTATCTTCGTTTTCAATACTTTAGTCTGAGATACCAATATGATCATAACATGTTTACACAGTAAAAATAAAAACAATATTGGTATATTTTAGTTCCTTTCTATTTAAAATTTAATTACCACTCCAAACAGAATAAATTTTTATCAACTGCTTTTAAAAATACTTATTGAAATGACCACTCTCCTTTATTTTATAAATGACATATTAATAAATTTCCTATTATACCATTCTTGCCTTCTGAAACAATCATTCCTAATTATTAGCCATTAATCTTTTAAGAAACCTGAGAATTCTATTTGCTAATATTTATTTAGGATATTAATTTTTCTCATATATTAACTTATACTCATCAAGGAGACTAAAGTTTTTTGTTAATTTTTTCCTGTTTCAATATCAGGAATATGCAATCTTTCCATCTTTCCTATATTCTTTAATTGTATAACAATACAAAAATAATTAGTTCCTTGAGGGTAAAATTCACCCATAAAGTCATCTGGTTTTGCATCTGTTTTAGTTGTGTGCCTTTACCAAACTTAAGTCTGTTCAGTTTTCAGTATCTTTCTAAGTCAACTATGATTAAGATAAAATGTGTTCTGTGGAAACTCAATCTAGATTTAAAAAAAATGTATTGGTTTATTTCTTACTGTTATTTTATCAGTTTCCTTGGTTATACTGATTTTTTTCTTTTTTAATGTATTTTCTTTCTCTTTATATCTGACAGGCTTATCAAAAGTTTAGCTGTATTATTTATTTTTAAAAACTCACACAGCGTTTTATTTCCACTTTGGGAGGATTATGTTTTATTTTCTAATTTTTTGATTTCTATTTTTATCCTCTTAAATTTCCCCCTCCTAGTTTCTTTTTCTTTGTTGTTTTCTTTTAGCTGAAACTTTATTTTCAATTTTTGTTAATAAAAGAATATTTAGCTATTATTTTATACTGTTTTTTCTTAGTTTTATTCATCTTTAAAAATATGTAATCATTAATTCTCTTTTTTCTAAGAGTATGCTACTCAAATGATGACAATTTACAAAATCTAGTTCTAAGTTCTTGAGAACAACATTTTCCTAATGGTAAAACATAAATTCCTTTTTTTTAAGGAATTATAATCTTGTACCTATAAAAACTCCCAATGAAAGACTGCCTAAGGCACTTTAAGTCACAAATAAGCAGAAATTTATTTATTTGAGAGCTTTATATAGTGTGAACATTGCTGATAAAAACGTTTCCAAATTTTATTGCAAGAAGGAAGGACAATTAACAATATAATTAATTTTTATTAAAAGCTCCTCTATGTTGAATAATTCTAACTGCCCTTAAAAACAAGGCATAATATCAAATCTAAATTTAAAAACATGCTGTGGGAAACAATGAGTGCAATATTTAAAGATCAACATTTAGAAATCTGTGACAAAGGTAGCTACCAATGGTAACAAGGCAGTTGTCTGGTAAGCAAAGATAACAATAGGAGCTATGGACAGAGTTTGGTGGTTGGAGCCAGCTGGAACCCAAGCAAATACAATGTTTATTACAACCATTACATGTATTAACAGCCTCTAGAGGTGCTGAATGGATTTGGCAACAGGAGGGGTGGTGGAAAGGGGGGTGGAGTTCAAGGATATTTACACAAGCGAATGTATCTGTTTAAACTGCTTTGATCTCTATTCACAATTTTTTGAAGCAGTTCAGTAACAATACAAGATAAAGTAGAGCCAAGGCCAACTCTGCCTCAAAATACATATCAGAGTAAACTGTGCTCACTTAATAATCTACGTAACAGTCTTTTATTCATGTACCCTTTCACCAAGATCCTGAAAAACTGTCAGTCTGATTCAGCAGAGAAGCTGGGTGTGAACACCGCGCTGGGCTCCTCCTTTTGCCTCTCCAGATGCTCTCTGCCCTGGAGGTAGACCTCTATCTGCCATATGCCTCCAGTTTCTTATTGAGTCTGGCCAATGGGAAGTTTTGGCAGGAGTTCAGAGAGAGAGAGAAGAGAAGGTCAAGTCCTTAACTCCTTAGTTTCCTCCAGCAAGTTGTCTGCAGCAGGCTGTGTTGTCAACACACAGTCACGGCCACTTCAGGCAGCTTACTCTATGTGACTGTTTCCCCTGGATTCCTCCCCTTTGTCCTTCTGAGCCTGAGAATGCTAACAGCCTCGCTGCTACGAAAAGTCAAGGTATGGCACCATCCCCAGTCCCCTAAACCCATATCTGTGTTAAGTCCTGTCAAACTTTGAATTACCTTATTATATTGAGTGAGTCATAGACAGTATTTCCTGTTGGGGCACTAATTCCCATAGTTTACAGATGAAGAGACTAACAAAGGCTGGGACTTCAAGCCTCAGTTTTCGTAGGTGCCAAAAGAGGACCTCTGGAGTAGGTGGCCTGTAAGATGTGCTCTGTTACTATTCTCAATGATAGGGCAGCTGTAATGGAAGACTTACAAATGTCCACACTCTACAGACTCAAGAATTCTAGGGTTGGCTATCCTTGA